AAAAAGCTTTAACCAACCATTACACACACACACACACACATACACACACACACACACATACACACACACACCCACACACACACACACATATATATACACATACAGGGCCGGATTATGACCTTTTGGGGCCCCTAGGCTAATGAAATTATGGGGCCCCCTCAGAATATATTTTACTCGTGATATATTTTAGCGACATTTACATAGCTTGAAGTAAACTTTGGGACGTTGTATGCATTATCATTTTTATGGAAACACATTATCATATAAATGGTAAAAAATAAATATATGATTATTCTTATCATTACCCTGCTATCTGTCTCTGACAAATTATATGACAGGTGAATGCCCTATGATGACAATACATGTTATATATTGACATATATGTCAGGGAGAGTGCATATTAATGTCTTTGTCCATAGTACTATATTATTGCACGGGCAATAACATAATATTGCCAGTAAATTCACTTTCAGTGTTTTGTTTAGTCTGCGCACACACAACGTTGGACAAAGAGTGCCATGTAAATCAAGTAGTTTAAGGCAATGGTTAACGGGAATGGTACTGTGACAATGAATGCATATACAGGACTAGCTCTAACAGATATCGATATCCATGAATGAACACTGGAGAGTTTAGAATAATGGTAATGAAGAATTTACTTATAAAGCATTATAACAGGACGAAAATAAGAATCACTGAAAAAATATATTGGAATTAATAACATGAAAAAGATTAATATTTGCTGTGTAACTATATATGCAAAAACTCACACTCTACACACATTAATATAACACACCAATAAAATGCGTTATACATAATATGGGCCTACTGCATCAGCTGTATGTATGGACGTGTTTTCTTTGAAAAAAAATGTAGATATCGAAAATGCTCTTACTCAGAATATGACATAATACACACACACACACACACACACACACACACACACACACACACACACACACACACACATATATCCACGACCCAGGCAAGAACCAATAGGTACCATACTTTCTGTCTCAGCACTGAAGCTGTTGGTTATTGATGCACTTTCATTCAAAAATAATTTAAAAAAATGATATTAATGATGAATGAGAGATAAACATGCAAACTTTCAAGTACAAATAACTCGTTTTGTTTTGTGAATGTGTAAAATTTATTCTATTTTGTTTTCCTGTAGCACGCAAATTTTGACTCATTTTAATACAGAAATGCAGTGGGAAAGATCTCTTCATCTTATATTTCCCCTTTGTTTTCTGATGAAGTGAAAAATATAATGATTTTCTTTCTTTATGAAAATTCAGAAATAAGGAAAGGTGAAAAATGAAATCAAGGTCGAGCTCAAAAAGGTAAACCGGAAATGAACAGTTCGATAATGGCTTCCAGAGTTATCATCGGCAAACATGGCTCTGGGAAGTGGAGAATACTTTTTTTTTTTTTTTTTTTTTTTTTAATCAAACGAATGAAACTTACATTCTGCTACTGTCTAAATTTCGATTTTCTGATAGATATTTGCAATTGAGATTATGAACGGAAATGCATGATTTATTTTTTGTTTTTTTGTTTTGCAGTTTCGTGCTTCCAATTTTAAGTTTTTCTTCTTTTTTAGATGACATTGGGAATAATTATACCAAAACAGGATAGATCTCTTCATCATCAGCCAAACAAAATTAGGGCATGTAGTCCAAATAAAGTTCTGAAAAGAAAAGAAGTATGAAGTACGGAACTATTTATAGGTTTTGAGAAAAACGATTTTTATCCCCCAAATAACCAAATTTGAAGTCCTTATTGCCTGACATGTACGAGCAAGATGGAGGGAAAACCCGAGCTTATGATAAATACAGGCGGTTGGGTTATTCATCGCTCAGCTCAGGAAACACACACACACACACACACACACACACACACACACACACACACACACACACAACACACACACACCACACACACACACACACACACACACACATCCAATTACATTTAATTACATTCACACACATACACATAGACATACACATACATATACACATGCACATGCACATACACAATCCATCGTCTCTGACCTTGCAAGTAGATAGCGAAATATATTTAAGTAAGTTGGTTTAATTTAACAACATACCTGATATTACTCATAATATGCACTATATTGATATGGATTATAGAATACCCGTAGTTACTATCTGTAAAATGATTAATGAAATTATAATATCTCCCTCCCATTGCCAACTAGTATTTTTCACGGGTCTTTAATCTCCGAGGGTGCCAGCGTGGGGCGTTCAGGTGGCAGCCGTGACGGGAGGCTACAGGGTGCCACGTTTCTCGCTCGTTACATCAGTTAATATCATGAATCCATTCGATCATCTTTTAGCTTCAATTGGCTGTCTGTTAAGTTCTTCACGACAGGATGGGATTTCTTTCTGAAGCAAGAAGCGTCAGTTTTAGCCTTCCTGTGTGGTCTGAGTGAGTTTAAAAAGTTTCAGTTTACGATAAGGACGTATCAGTTTTATGTATTTGCTATGTCATACTGCTCTCTCTCTCTCTCTCTATGTCAGCCTTTTTCTCTCTGTGTCAGTCTTTCTCTTTCTCTTTGTCAGTCTTTTTCTCTCCCTATCTATCAATCTTTCTCTCTCTCTATCTCTCTCTGTCATTCTTCTGTCTATCTCTCTGTCAGTCCCTCAGTTTGTCTCTCTTGTCATATATATAGATATATATATATATATGCATATATATATATATATATATATATATATATATATATATATATATATATATATATATATATATATATCTGTATATGTAGATGTACATATATACATATATATATGTATGTAAACACACGCATATGTATATGTACGTGTATATATATGTATGTATATATATTTATATATATATATATATATATATATATATATATATATATATGTATATATATATATATATATATATATATATATATATATATATATATATATGTATGTATGTACGTATGCATGTATATATGTATGTATATATGTATATATAATGTTAATAGGACTACACCCACCAAAAACTAAAACATCTAAGTAATGAAATGGAATATAAATGCATAGATGTTTGCACCCTAAAACACTAACAAACAAAGTAACGAAAGGAACAAAAATCCTCTGCAGACTCTTAACTCCCGACAAGCTTAACGAACCACAATCCCAGCCAGAACTGTCCCGTTTTCACATCATCTGTTCAGTAAATTCCAGCGCGACCATGGAGAACCCTCGTGCAGGTCTTCTCCATATCCGGATGAGGGCTTCTCTCAAACTTTAAACACGCGAACATTACACTCTAAAGGACTAGTCAATTTCTAAATCCACTAAGACTCGCCAAAGTCATCAAAAAGCTGATCATAGATATTACTAAACCACTTCTCCAGGCGGGAACTTCCTTTTTTTTGTCTCTGTAAACCTTAAAGCTAAAACGGACTCCTCAAAGAAAACCCACGAACAAACAACGCTTAAGAATTAATCAAGAGAACCCACAAACAAACAAACATCCTAAGAACTAACTCACGTGCATCAAATCCCATCCATAGTCATGCTTACAATCTTGTCGCAGGCACGAAGATCAAGGTCTTCTCTCTGCACCCGGGGGTCGTGCAGTCCAACCTCTGGAGGCACGTGGCGGGGACTTTCGCGTCCTCCTGGTACGCTGCGCTCATCTCCAAGAGCAGCGTGGAAGGCGCTCAGACCACTCTGCATTGCGCTCTTGAAGCAGAGCAGGATGACTATAGTTATTACTTCAGGTGAGTTTTTTTGTTCTTTTTTTGAGGGGTAATTGCATTTTTTCTTATTTCAAGAAAATGCTCTCCCTAAATGGAATTATTAATTGACTTTTTCAATTTATAGTATCCACCTAAAATCCAAACTCAACGAAGATTTATAAGAGCAGAATTACATATTGTTACCAATATTAAATCTCGTACAATATTTTTTTTTAGTGACTGCGCGGCAGGTATTGCTTCAGCAATTGCCAGGAACGACAAGATAGCCGAGCGACTGTGGCAGGTGTCGGAGAAGATGGTTAAGCTTAAGTAAGAAATTAGAGAAATAGTAAGAGAGAGCGAGAGGAGATTCGAAAAAGACCGGCAGACAAGGGCCTAATTAGTTCTCTTACCATTAGGCAGTGGCGTCGTAATCCAGTGCTGTCATTTTTCTAACTTCACTGAATGTTTACAGTTAGATCAGGCTTCATGTTAACTGGCTTTGGAGAAGAGCAGGCGTCCTGTTCGTGTATACAGAACTTGAAATGTTCACAGATCCCGAGGCAGCATTGCCAGACGTACTCTCAGCGGAAAACATAAGAGAAAACCGATTATTTTGGACAATAATGATAATGACAGTGATGATAATAATGCCATATTAATGAAGCTATTAGTAAAGATTATCATTATAAAAATTATGTTAATATTGATGCTAATAATAGCATTAATATTGATGATAATAATGTCATTAACGTTGATGATAATAATAACATTAATATTAATGATTATAATGACAATAACTATAATAATAATAACTACAACAACAGTGATAATAACTGCAAAGATACGGTCCTAGGGACAGGGTGTTAGTACCGCATATATATATATATATATATATATATATATATATATATATATATATATATATATATATATACATACACACATCCTCACGGAGTCCCCCACCTTTTCAATTGACAACCTATTTTCCTTCCTCAGACGCATTCGATTTAATCATCTTTGTCCTTAACCCCCCCCCCGTTCTATCAATCCCTATCCTACCCCAGTCACCTCTTTTTTTACCATTATATTATCTTATAATACCATGACTGTAGAAATCTAAAACATTCTGTTGTAATAAAGAAAACCTAGTACATTTATTTGTTTAAAAAGCTTTAAGCAACCATTATACACACACACACATACACACACACACACACACACACACATATATATATACACATACAGGGCCGGATTATGACCTTTTGGGGCCCCTAGGCTAATGAAATTATGGGGCCCCCTCAGAATATATTTTACTCGTGATATATTTTAGCGACATTTACATAGCTTGAAGTAAACTTATTGCAAATTCTTTAAATAAACTAGCATAGCTATCTTTTGTTTGTCAATAAGAATATTCTTTAGATACCACTATTTATTATATTTCAACACAACCGTAGTGAAAAAAAAACAGATTTTTTATAACCAAGCCCCTCAAGCTTGGGGCCCCCAAGCTTGAGGGGCCCTAGGCTGCAGCCTATACTAGCCTATAGGATAATCCGGCTCTGTATATATATATATATATATATATATATATATATATATATATATATATATATATATATATATTTACATATGCAATTATTTTTTTCTTTTATTATCATCATATCACTCATAAAGCACAAAGCATGAATAAAAGATAACACAAAATTATATTCAAAATAATTCTACATAATTAAGTACAAGAACAAAGATATGGCAACAGAAAATTTGTATAAGATAGTTATTGGGATAGTTGGGACGCACTGGTTGTTGGGACGTTGTATGCATTATCATTTTTATGGAAACACATTATCATATAAATGGTAAAAAATAAATATATGATTATTCTTATCATTATCCTGCTATCTGTCTCTGACAAATTATATGACAGGCGAATGCCCTATGATGACAATACATGTTATATATTGACATATATGTCAGGGAGAGTGCATATTAATGTCTTTGTCCATAGTACTATATTATTGCACGGGCAATAACATAATATTGCCAGTAAATTCACTTTCAGTGTTTTGTTTAGTCTGCGCACACACAACGTTGGACAAAGAGTGCCATGTAAATCAAGTAGTTTAAGGCAATGGTTAACGGGAATGGTACTGTGACAATGAATGCATATACAGGACTAGCTCTAACAGATATCGATATCCATGAATGAACACTGGAGAGTTTAGAATAATGGTAATGAAGAATTTACTTATAAAGCATTATAACAGGACGAAGATAAGAATCACTGAAAAAATATATTGGAATTAATAACATGAAAAAGATTAATATTTGCTGTGTAACTATATATGCAAAAACTCACACTCTACACACATTAATATAACACACCAATAAAATGCGTTATACATAATATGGGCCTACTGCATCAGCTGTATGTATGGACGTGTTTTCTTTGAAAAAAAATGTAGATATCGAAAATGCTCTTACTCAGAATATGACATAATACACACACACACACACACACACACACACACACACACACACACACACACAACACACACACATATATCCACGACCCAGGCAAGAACCAATAGGTACCATACTTTCTGTCTCAGCACTGAAGCTGTTGGTTATTGATGCACTTTCATTCAAAAATAATTTAAAAAAATGATATTAATGATGAATGAGAGATAAACATGCAAACTTTCAAGTACAAATAACTCGTTTTGTTTTGTGAATGTGTAAAATTTATTCTATTTTGTTTTCCTGTAGCACGCAAATTTTGACTCATTTTAATACAGAAATGCAGTGGGAAAGATCTCTTCATCTTATATTTCCCCTTTGTTTTCTGATGAAGTGAGAAAATATAATGATTTTCTTTCTTTATGAAAATTCAGAAATAAGGAAAGGTGAAAAATGAAATCAAGGTCGAGCTCAAAAAGGTAAACCGGAAATGAACAGGTTCGATAATGGCTTCCAGAGTTATCATCGGCAAACATGGCTCTGGGAAGTGAGAATACTTTTTTTTTTTTTTTTTTTTTTTTTTTAATCAAACGAATGAAACTTACATTCTGCTACTGTCTAAATTTCGATTTTCTGATAGATATTTGCAATTGAGATTATGAACGGAAATGCATGATTTATTTTTTGTTTTTTGTTTTGCAGTTTCGTGCTTCCAATTTTAAGTTTTTCTTCTTTTTTAGATGACATTGGGAATAATTATACCAAAACAGGATAGATCTCTTCATCATCAGCCAAACAAAATTAGGGCATGTAGTCCAAATAAAGTTCTGAAAAGAAAAGAAGTATGAAGTACGGAACTATTTATAGGTTTTGAGAAAAACGATTTTTTATCCCCCAAATAACCAAATTTTGAAGTCCTTATTGCCTGACATGTACGAGCAAGATGGAGGGAAAACCCGAGCTTATGATAAATACAGCGGTTGGGTTATTCATCGCTCAGCTCAGGAAACACACACACACACACACACACACACACACACACACACACACACACACACACACACACACACACACACACACACACACACACACACACACACATCCAATTACATTTAATTACATTCACACACATACACATAGACATACACATACATATACACATGCACATGCACATACACAATCCATCGTCTCTGACCTTGCAAGTAGATAGCGAAATATATTTAAGGTAAGTTGGTTTAATTTAACAACATACCTGATATTACTCATAATATGCACTATATTGATATGGATTATAGAATACCCGTAGTTACTATCTGTAAAATGATTAATGAAATTATAATATCTCCCTCCCATTGCCAACTAGTATTTTTCACGGTCTTTAATCTCCGAGGTGCCAGCGTGGGGCGTTCAGTGGCAGCCGTGACGGGAGGCTACAGGGTGCCACGGTTTCTCGCTCGTTACATCAGTTAATATCATGGAATCCATTCGATCATCTTTTAGCTTCAATTGGCTGTCTGTTAAGTTCTTCACGACAGGATGGGATTTCTTTCTGAAGCAAGAAGCGTCAGTTTTAGCCTTCCTGTGTGGTCTGAGTGAGTTTAAAAAGTTTCAGTTTACGATAAGGACGTATCAGTTTTATGTATTTGCTATGTCATACTGCTCTCTCTCTCTCTCTCTATGTCAGCCTTTTTCTCTCTGTGTCAGTCTTTCTCTTTCTCTTTGTCAGTCTTTTTCTCTCCCTATCTATCAATCTTTCTCTCTCTCTATCTCTCTCTGTCATTCTTTCTGTCTATCTCTCTGTCAGTCCCTCAGTTTGTCTCTCTTTGTCATATATATAGATAGGTAGATAGATAGATATAGATAGATATATATATATAGTATGTATACAGTATGTATGTGTTATACACACGCAGATATATACATATATATATGTATATGCATATATATATATGTATATACATACATATATATATATATATATATATATATATATATATATATATATATATATATATATATATATATATATATATATATATATATATCCGTTCTTGATTGTTGTAGTCCACTGTTACTTTCAGAATCACAGAAATCCTCCATTATTTGTTAACAAATTGGCTCATGATAGATGTTATAATACAGAAAAGCAGTTGAAATAGTAGGTAAAACATATATGAATGTATGTAACTAGTAAAATTTACCTTGGAAATTTCAGTTCTGTCGTATAATACTTATCAGAAGTGCAAAGGAATTTTCTTTTGGTGCTTGTCTTCAGCTTGTATTTTTTCTTCTGCTGCTGAGTGTGAATATCTTTAATCTTAGCAGCTCTATTGTTTTACTAATTTTGTGGTGATGGTTTTTGTTGAATATTATTATTTATACCGTTAATATTATTCCTACTAGTCTTACTCTTACTCCTACTCCTACTCCTACTCCTACTCCTACTGCTACAACTACTTCGACTCCTAGTCTGACTCCTACACTGACTCCTACTCTTGCTCCTACTCTTGCTCCTACTCTTGCTCCTACTCTTGCTCCTACTCTTGCTCCTACTCTTGCTCCTACTCTTGCTCCTACTCCTACTCCTACTCCTACTCCTACTCCTACTTCTACTCTGATTCCGACTTCTACTCCTACTCCTAATACTCTGACTCCAACTGTGACTCCAACTTCTACTGCTACTGCTACTGCTACTGCTACTGCTACTGCTACTGTTACTGTTACTCCTACTGCTACTGCTACTTCTACTGCTACTGTACCTCCTCCCTTACCACTATTACAGCTACTACTAATACTATTATAAGGGCTATCATTATCTTTCTTATGACTTTTGCCATCCTACGGATTAGCTTCATGATAATCTCCACCATCTTTTTTTCCCCAGTGGCTGTTGTTGACTACTTCCGAGGGAACTGCGTCACATGCGCTGTATTCCATGCCTGCCTAATCATCCTCGTTCGACGATTTCTGGCGGGGGGGATTTGCAATTCCACTCGACGCCTGGATGGCAAGACAGTTGTTATTACTGGTTGCAATGTGGGCATTGGGAGGGAGACTGCTAGAGACCTTAGTGGACGAGGTAAGTTTTTTATGGTAATATTACTCTTATTATTGAGGCTAGCATTGATATTATTAATATTGGTACTAGCATGGTTATTATTCTTATTAGTGTCCGTTTTCTTATTCTCCTTGTTATTAATGGTATTTATTTATTAATTATTTTATATTTGATGTTTCATACTCTAGTTTTTGTGAACAGGTTGTTATTTTCCTTTTCAATATATTATTATCAGTTATTTGGTTGAAAATAACTTATCTTGGATTGTTATTTCCTGTCATTTACATACAAAGTCTGGTAAGATTGTTTAGAAAATTTTAATCATTTTCTCTTTAGTAAATTTACAGGCACTTGTTAATTGAAGATTTTTATCCCCATCAGTAAAGATTTGAGCTGTAGATAATTTTCCTCCTTGGAACTCTCCCTTTTCCTCCTACAGTGGGTCTTCATTTTCTGTATACTAATATCTGTGACTTCTTCCAATGCAAATTTTGTTATGGTAAAAATTTTATTGCAAAAGAGGTGTACCAGATGTCAGGCTATCCATTTGCATAGGAGTGAAGCTTCCTTGCTCTGAATGTGTTCTGCTGTGTCATTCTGAGTGTCCACATCTATGAAATGGAAGAGGCAATATGAGTGTGTGAGAGTGAGTGGCAGTAAATGACAGCTAGTGAATGTATTTCGATATAATCAAAACCTGTCAAATACATCCCCTGTATTGTGAAGATATTCATTCTCATTCATAC